ACCCTGAAGCCGAACACCTGCAACACCCGAAGCCCGAAACATCTTGGGGTAGGGTTTAGGGATTTAGGGTTTAGGGTTTAGGGCCTTAGGGATTTGGGGATTTAGGGTTTAGGGATTTAGGGCTTAGGGACTAGGGTTTGTGGTTTAAAAATTGTCAAACCCTCAAATCCATACGTCAGAGCTGAACCTTGGCTCTGCAAAGCAAAAAATTGCTGTCGCCCATGAGCCCAGAAATGCCTACTTAGACTAGGTTCCCGAGTAGTCCTTTTTGGCCCTTTTGATTGAAAGGATACCCTTCTCAAAAACAAGTATTAGGAAACAGGGTGCCCTTTTTTTATTGGGTTTACTGGGGAGCCTAGTAGATGTTTATCCATTTTCTTACCCCGAAACCCTAAACCCTAAACCCGAAGCCCTCAACGCTAAACCCCAAACCCCTAAACCCTAAACCCGGTTTTGAAAACAAGTGTTAAAGACGTGTAGGGTGCTTGGATCGACGCTTGTTTTGAAGAGTTGTCCCATACCTATTTATAGGCCTCTAAGTAGTTCCTTTTTGGGATTACCTTATAGGATTCTAAATTCAAACCATAAAAAGGAACTACTTAGGGGCCTATGAGTATGTCTTAATTTCTTGGGCTGTGAGGAAATCAGAAGATCCACACCCACCGTAAGCCTAAGCCGCACACCCTGAGATTAGGAGCCCTAAACCCTAAACCCTAAACCCCTAAACCCCTAAACCCTAAACCCCTAAACCCCTAAACCCTAAACCCCTAAACCCCTAAACGGGTTTAGGGTTGGGAGGCTCGGGCTGGGCAGTCTCCAGAGTTTAGGCCTCAGGATATAAGGTTTAGAGTCTTGGGGTTGAGAGTTCCGGGATGCCTTTAATATAAGGGTGTTCATATCTATAATTACTAGCAATACTATGCCTCACAAAATTTCCTTATTTCAAAGTACTACCCCCAAGACGGTATGAACCCCCCAAAGCCCCAGAAACGACGTCAGAGCCGGAAGCCTGGTGCACAACCCTAAACCCTAAACCC